AGTATATCGACTTGGATTGAGCATTTAAGATGAAACCAAATTTGCTCTAGCTTGTCGTCTTTATCCGGCAAATGCGTTGATGCTCAATTTAGGAGATGACGATGCGCTCTTTTTTTACTGAACAGAGCATGATGCAGTGACGGATAGGAACTCCCCTAAGTTTACACTCTTAGCAAATAAGATACTTACGCTTTGTTGTTGGGGACCATGAGATATCTTTGTGTATAATCAAGATTTGATCGTAGAAAATCTGGTCAGATTAAGTCTTGCTTTGACAAATGTAATAAAAAAATAATGAAGTAGGGAAAAATAAATAAGAAGCTAAAACAAAAGCAAACAATTATTGATTGCGGTGTCCCTTGCTATTTTAAATCCAAGAAACCTCAATGACGATGAGATCGAAATATTGAAGCACCGAAAGAAGGAATACCCATTCACGAAGTTAAAGCCTGCTAGCTTTCTTGCGACCAAATTCCCGCGCAAAATTTTTTTCCAAACATCCAATATTTCTTTGCAGCTAATCAGCAAAGAGAAGCTCATCACGCAAACTATATTTTCGCCGTTTCACAAGTCTTCACTGCCCTGTTCAGATCACAAGCTACATATCCCTTCTACCTGCTGACGTACTTGTACTTCATCAATCCCATCCGTTATGCAAATTATATTTTGACAATGGAATTCGCTTCTGTTATAACTGTTCGCGACTGTGTGAGGACGGAGAGAGGCAACGTGGATGCTACACCTGTAGAGCGGTTTTGCAGGTGCGTCTGAGCTCGTTCCAAATGTTCTTTTTTTCATTTAACATCAGTGTTTTAGATGGCAAAACAGCTCCAAATATGTGCTGGAGATGTTCCCAGAAACTGTGCAGACTCGTGGCTACTGGAGCAATACCGTTGCACTTGTAGTGATCTTGTTGGCTTTCTTTATACTGACGCTACTTTTTCATGCCATTTCGCAGTCAAGACGGTCAGAAGAGAAGAGAAGAATAGCAAGCTGAAGTGTATATAAAATTTATTCTTACATTCAAAACAATTTTCTCTATTACACGTTTTCAAAATGAGGAACACTAACACAAGGGAAAAAGGTCATAGCATGGGCCTAATCTGTTGCCGATCCAACCAAATAGCCTTCATCAGCTCCAGTGGATCCTGTTT